TTTTTTTTTTTTTTTTTTGGTAAAGTGTTAGCAATAGCTGTCTTTATATGTTTTTGATACTTTAAAACAAATGCTTTTTGAAATACGGCAATCACCTCTTTGGTCCAATTATAATTGGACTTGGTCATAAACTACATATTTTATTGTTCGTTGTGCAAATTTGTAAAGAAAACCAAAAGAAAATACGTTTTTTTTACTCCTCTTACTTTACGTTATTATTTTCATTAATACTTAAATATGTTTGTAAAAAAGTCGAACGGTTAGCAAAACTGTCACATACATACATACTTTAATTACAGACACAATGTGCAATTTTTAAGCTACAAGCAACGGCATGCAAACAAGTGCCAAATTTTAGTTTAAAGATGCTTTTGATTAGTACAGATTATTTTGAAGATATTTTTGTAAATGTCTAAATTTTTAAATTCAAACAGTGGCTCCAGCGAATAATCGGGCAAGTTTATTTTCAAAGAAGTTGNCTAGAAAACATATGGGACGTTCCATGTCAAAATTCGATGCGATAGAAAGTACTCGCGATGGGCACACATACTGGGTGGTGTATTTTGCCTATTAGCCAGTCCAGTGCAATAAAACATTTTATAATAAGTGAGCGGTGTCACGCCCCCCATTAAAAACGCAAGAAACTAGATGCTAGTATGTTAACCAATTTTCAGTAATGCAGGTGTAGTAATTACTGAAACTTTGAAAAAAGCCAAAACGCCCCTTACTGCGTCTTCTCCGTTCGCTTGCACGAATTAAAATTTCATACGTACTGTGTAGCAAAATTTTCACTTAAACTCGCTATATTTCAGACGTTAATATCTATTCCAAAGAATTTAAATTTAACAACACTTCTTAATACTCATTAAAAACAAAATGGCAGTTTTTTTNACATTTTATAATAAGTGAGCGGTGTCACAACCCATTAAAAACGCAAGAAACTAAATGCTAGTATGTTAACCAATTTTCAGTAATGCAGGTGTAGTAATTACTGAAACTTTGAAAAAAGCCAAAACGCTCTTACTGCGTCTTCTCCGTTCGCTTGCACGAATTAAAATTTCATACGTACTGTGTAGCAAAATTTTCACTTAAACTCGCTATATTTCAGACGTTAATATCTATTCCAAAGAATTTAAATTTAACAACACTTCTTAATACTCATTAAAAACAAAATGGCAGTTTTTTTTTACTTACTCTCTAAAAATTAAAGGGTTTTTTTCAGAATGAAAATTTGTGTTATAGAATTTTACGTCTCATTTATTTTTGAATACCACATTATAGATAAATATCTGAAAAAGTATTTAGAAAAGTTTCCGATTTAAAACAATATGAATAATAGAATAATACAAAGTGGGAATACGAGAAAGGTTAAGTACTTCATTAAAGAACACTACATAATGTGTAAGTATGTATTTAGTTAAATTTTTGTTTGATTTCATAATGGGTTTTGCAATCTTAATTTTAAAAAATTAATTTATAGCATTTTTTTTTTTTTTTTTTGGTAAAGTGTTAGCAATAGCTGTCTTTATATGTTTTTGATACTTTAAAACAAATGCTTTTTGAAATACGGCAATCACCTCTTTGGTCCAATTATAATTGGACTTGGTCATAAACTACATATTTTATTGTTCGTTGTGCAAATTTGTAAAGAAAACCAAAAGAAAATACGTTTTTTTTACTCCTCTTACTTTACGTTATTATTTTCATTAATACTTAAATATGTTTGTAAAAAAGTCGAACGGTTAGCAAAACTGTCACATACATACATACTTTAATTACAGACACAATGTGCAATTTTTAAGCTACAAGCAACGGCATGCAAACAAGTGCCAAATTTTAGTTTAAAGATGCTTTTGATTAGTACAGATTATTTTGAAGATATTTTTGTAAATGTCTAAATTTTTAAATTCAAACAGTGGCTCCAGCGAATAATCGGGCAAGTTTATTTTCAAAGAAGTTGAGCTCTCCTACGGAGATTTTTCTAAATGTTTTTGTTAAAAAAAATTATATTTTGAACTGCCTCAAAGCAAATGAATTTTTTCGCGTATATCAGGAAAAAAACACATTTAAGTAGAAGAAGTATAGAATTTTAATATTAACTAGCATTTATAAGACCCCTAAAGTTGTTAGTATTAAAAATGATAAAATAAACAATAGGGTATTATTATTGGAAGTTTCCTGAAGAGAAAAAGAGTTATCCGATCGAAAAGTATTGATTTTCACACTTTATATATTTAAGTTCACAAAAATTCAAACAATTTTCACCAAAATTTAAAAGTCCAAAAAAAAATCAGATTTAAACTCAAAAAGGCGTTTCAATGCAAAAAATAGCAGTTTTCGCAGCTCAATTAATAACAATGTGCCAAAGTTTTAAGGCAACCGAAGAAGGACGGATTTCACTGTCGCACAAGCCTTTTAGAGTTTAAATTTGATTTTCTTTTGGTTTATTTATTATTGACGTCATAAAAAAGTTTGCCAAAAACTCTATCTGTGTCCTTATTTTTTCAAAAATTCCATCTACATCGTTCGTTAGATTTCAAAAAAAAGTTTCAGCGGGCATAAAGCGTGTCCGATTATTTGTAGGAACCACTGTATATATATGTGTATGTACCTTCTCGTATGTTTATGTATCTGTATGGATATATATTTTTTTTTTTGAGCTAGAAATCAGGGATGTTACGAATGCAATATATTTCAAATTGTTTAGAATACCATTAAAAAGCTGTAACCAGCTTAAGTCATTGTTTTTATTAAACAAAGATTAGAACATTGAACCAGTGTTACCCCTATACAGTTTTTTAATCGAATAGTGAAAGTTCAAAAGAGGCATATTAGATTTCAGAAATTGTAATTTTTCCGCTATTTCGCCTATGAGGCGATTTCATAGAGGCTCGCCGGCTGCACTGAACAATTGCTCACTCTGAACGCTTATGTGGCATTAATTTTTGACTTTAGACGAATGGTACTTAATGTTTTCAAGAAAAACTTTAAGTTTTAAATCATGTTTTACTAGGATGGCCTCCCAAAAAACAAAATAAAAAAAGTTCAGTCAAATCAGGTCTTTTGTAAGTTCCCAGAATTTTGTTAACAGAATTTGCTTATGTTTTGTGTATGTATTTTATTTGTTATACATAAATTTTTATTTTTTACGAAAAGAAAGCGATTGAGATCAAAAACAATTATTTTATAATTTATTTCATACAAATTAATTAATTAATAAAAGTCATCTGTACTATAACATTGTTCAATAGCAGTTTTGCAGAGAAACAATGGGATATTTCCGAAAGAAGTAATCATGTTGAAAATTTTTAGAGTGAAAAGTCCATTTGTAGAAAATATACAAGGGATGAAAAAACTTTTTAAAACATTTCCTTTAAGAATTTGGCAGAAGGTTCCATTGCAAATTGAAAGATTTAGAATTTTTGTGAGCTTATCGATTTTTCTGTTCCCCTTTTGGACTTAGTAAATTTGCTTTTAATTGAATATAAACGGGAAGAAATAAAACAAGCACGTTAGTTATATATCCAAATATGAGTTTTCACAAAAAGCGAACTTAGCAACTTTTCATTTCAAGCTAAAGATATGTTGATGAGATGATAATAGTCTTTCTTTGTAGGACTTTCTTTTCATTAGCAACTAAACTGCCAAAAAATTTTTGATATTCGCAATAAGGCTATTTATCTAAACGCCTGGAATGCCTCGTAACCTATTTATTTACGAGGTTTATGCGGTTGTGAGGCATATACGGGCTTAGATAAAGACCCATAGTAATAATAATTAGATTAAAAAATAAAATTTCGGGAATAAAATTGTCATTGAATCGGTTTTCGGGTTATTTTCTTCTTCGGTTCACAAGTATCGATACCAAAATTACTTGGTATCGGACGAATACTATCGAGTATGTACTTGTATATATTAGTATCGTAGTTAAATTACTTGAATCATGTAAATCGGGTGCAAAAATACTGTGGCGTAGCCGGAGTTGGACTGATGAAAGTTTTTTGTAATGCATAGTTTTCTTTACGTTTACAAGCGATTTGTTTTTTTACAATTGGGAATTTTAAGTTTTTATATTATCAGTTTAAAATATGTAAAAAATCGAAGACAAAGGACAAAGTTACTGAAAATGAGGAACTAAATGAAACTAAAAAGTTTATAGAAATATCTTCGACAATGCATTTTAAACTTTTTATCGATAGTATCGATAGTTTTACAGCTCTAGCATAAAGGAAAGGAACTTAGCGCATAAAGGGAGTCGATAACGATCAATATCAAAGTTAAATAAAAATACTTGAAGTGAGGTCGGAGATTTTTAATAAAAAAATTAATCTACATGACAGTTCAGGATCTTTTGTATACTTATGATCTTGCATTTGCATATTTCTGTGCAAATGCAAATGCAAGACCATTTCCACAATATCCGGAACGGCCCTCATATGTATGAATGTGAAAATTAACACTCAAAACCATTAATCGAGAGAATTAGTTGAGAAATATAATTTAACTTTAATTTGATAGAAAATCAAATGAATCCAATGCTTACTTTCTTAATACTAAAGATTTGTTTGTATAAATTTCCAATACTGTACCTGCATGGCCTGAGCTTCGTCCCTGCGCTCATCCTCCGTATTCATTGTGACGAACCGCAACACCAGCAAATTCAGCGAGGCTGCAACAATTGCCAAACCGAAGAGTATGAATATCAGTGCGAACATTACATATTGCGGTTTGTTATTGAGAGCATTGTCCTTTTGTAAAGCAACCATGTCTCCAAAACCTAGCGAATAGCGAATACAAAAGTAAATCGTCAGTTTCTATAACGGCCAGGGTTATACAATATATACATATGTACATACATACATTTATATGTGCTATATATGTATGCCTGCATATGGACCATATATGTATGTACATACATAGAGTGAAAGAGCGGCCTATCTCGGCTGCCGGTTCGAAAACTGCCTATGACAGCAAATGGTTGAAAGGTGCCCTTTGAATGGTTGAAGAACGCCCATTCGCAGCAAATGATTAAAAAAAAAAACCAAGTTCTGAGGTAGAGCGTTCTTCAACGAAATTCTGAAATGGGACGTTCTTAAACTATTTGCTAAGACAGGGCGTTTTCGAAACAGCAGCCGAGATAGAATGTTCTTCCACTCAGCCGACGTTATAGTCTACATACATTGAACTCACCTATTGTAGTTAAAGTAATAAAGCAGTAATATACTGAATCGAAATAGCTCCAACCTTCGTAGCGGGAAAAGGCCGCTGCGCCGCCAGCTATCGTTAGAGAGCTCAGCGTTGTTACGACGCATATTAAATCTACTTCGGAAGCTGCAGTTCGTTTACAACGTAGTGACTTCCTCACTGCTTGTATAACATAGCTGCGGTATGGACGCAAACCGGTTCAAAAAATGAGAAAAGCAAGTAAATAAATATTTTAATAATTAAATACTTTATGCACATTCGTATGCTGCTCTAATACTTATTAAGAAAATTGTTATGCTACTCGTGCATACTTACATACCAATATGCAATGTGTACGCCCCGCTTCACTAGAATAGGTGCAGTGCCTTTCTTTAAAAACTAAGTTTGTGTATACCAGACTACATATTTACATATACTCTATGCCCCCTCCTATAACGTTTTGGGCCATTTTGACACAATAATAGAAATTAGTCAATTTAAAGAGAAAAAACGGTTGAATTCAGTTAATATTTTATTTATCATATGCAAATCCTTTATCGGCAAGTGCTATATGCTTATCGGTTCAAAGTTGCCATCAAATACCAAATAATAATTTGGATCAAAATGTACATAGTTTTTGGAATTTACCCCTTCCTATTCTGTTTTTTGGGTAATTTTGACCCAATTACAGAAATTAGTCAATTTAAAAAAAAGGATATATCAATATGAATCCGGTTAATATTTTATTTATCACATGCAGAAAGTCTATCGGCAAGGGCTGAATGCTTACCGGTTCGAAGTTTCCCTTAAATACTAAATAATAATTTGACTGAAAATTACCCAGAAACACTGTGAGTGTATGGAAAAACTATGTTGCCTTCTAGAAAACCAAATAAGATAAAAAACTTTTATTTTTGGTAAAATTATAGATGATAATGCTTTTAACGAATAGACAGCGCCGCAGCTTATTTAAAATTGCCCAACTCTGTAATTAAAGAATTTTTTCGTGAAAATTTGGTATTTTTTTAATTCAATGATAACTCGCATTTTTGGCACTTCTTTAGCCGCTGGGAGCGTAATTTCTCGCTTTCTCTTTTTAGGCAATTGAAAGTGCGCTATTAAGTCGCTTAGATAAAAACTACCAAAACATAGCAGGGAAATTTTCTTTTTTGGCCCTTTTCTTCCTAAAAGACTATTCTGCAACATGACACTAAAACAAAGTTTCACCGACACCTACGAGTAAAGACATCCGTACATACATACATATGTATGTAACCTCGAATCCTTAAGGAACAATACGCCTATTCAAATGAAGCGGAGTGTGTGTGTTCACATAATTCTGTACATTTATATTTAGTCATTATTATGTAAGTACGGAAGTACGATGCAGTAAGCAGTACCCTGCAAAAATCGCGACTACTCCATGCATGCAAAGAGTACTCCCTTAGGACCAAGGAGTACTCCAAAATTAACCACAATTCATATAAAAAATATGGTCCAATTAACATTGCGATGTCCTAGGGCAGGACCATATACTCCATCCCTGCATTACATCAGAGTAGCACAAAACTACTCCAACATATTAACAATGGCATTGTTGTTATATTTTTTCGTTTGTACATGCTTTTGTTCTTCACTTCTCAAATGCTTTTTCGAAATCAATAAAAACCAAGATAAAAATTAAAAACTACATGTTACCACTGACGGCATTCGAACCCGCACATGCTGGGAGCTAAGAACTAACAGCGCGCATCTCTACACGTTCAGCTACAGCCAGACATGCAAATGTGCTTTCAAATGCTCAACTTCAATCACATTTCGTTAAAACACGAGCAGTGATCGGATAACAAACAATAAGCTGGCGCAGAGACACGAGTTGGTGCGCTACAGCTTGACAGAGGAACACTTTTGTAAGTACTCCAATTTACCACAAATAGACTACATGGTCCAACGATTTTTGCAGGGTATGCGTGGAGATAACGAATAATCAAATAACCTGCTCAGTCTATTCACTCTTTCTCCAATACTCTGGAACATAACAAGGCCCAACGGTATCCCCACAATCGCATAGCACATTGTGAAAAGTTTGCCACCGATTGTGCTTGGCGTGAGTGGCCATAACCAATTGTAGTCAACACTGTTGTTGCATAGTAGAACGCACCAGTAAACTTCCATTGTTGACCAGCCTTATGTGGTTCCGATTTAAGCACAACTGTCTCCATCACTTTGAAATCCTCTTGTGTAATATTGTATTTTCGTATTATCATATCTTCGACAGCTGCAAACAAGCAATGGAAATGGAAATTAATAATTTTCGTTTTTAGACTATAATTATAATATATATTACATACATACATACATACATACATATGTATATGTTTGTATAATAATAATAATAATACCCTACAAGACATTGCTGAGCACTTTAGGCAAAAATTCTCACACATTTACACTTTTGTTTTTGTAGTACGGCATAAATGAGTAGTTTGACTATTAGTACTGAGGACTTTCTGATGACAACATTGAGGGGAAAGTACTCAAATTTTTCCCATGGCCTGAACGAAAATGAGGACTTTGATAAGCACTTTTGTGATTAGGAGTAATGATAATATGAGTACTCATATGATACTCAGCTGTCTTGCAGGGTAGCTTGGCGCTTACACGTATGTTAGTGTTTGGCCGAGCTTCTCCTCCGATTTGTGGCGTGCGCCTTGATGTTGTCACACAAAGCGGAGGGACCTACAGTTTTACGCCGACTCCGAACGGCGATTGTATTTTTATGAGAAGCTGTTTTTCATGGCAGAAATACACTCGGAGGTTTGCCATTGCCTGCCGAGGGACGACCGCTGTTAAGAAAAAACCTTTTTCTATATTTTTTGCGATGTTGCTTTGACCAGGGCTTGAACCCAGGCGTTGCGGTTGCAGAGTGGAAGCGCGCACTGCTTACCACTACACCACAGCGGCCGAATATTGAACTATAATAGACAGAAATGAAAATTTGTATCGACATCTGTAACTTGTGATCAGATGCAGACACTTCTCCGTCTATCAAATTATTCAAATATATGCAGACAGCTTTAAATTCCTAATCTTTTAACGCACATAGAACACTTTCAGGATCAACCTATATCTCTGTCGTTTAAAACTCTAAGTCCACGTCCAATAAATCCCTGCTTGCCCCGCTTGCTTTGCAATGGCTGTTAAGTATGTAATTTATTTTATGCTTTAACGCCAATGTTGAACTCGGAATATTAATGTTAATGTAAATAAAAGTTCTCGGTGCATTTTTAGCGCATAATTCCAAATTTTGAATGGTGTCACTTTTGACGATCGTGTGCAATATTTACAATGTGCACACAAAACCTATGATTTCTTTAAAAAGTATAAATATTCTTCTTTCAAAAGCTATACAAAAACTTAAAATTGGGCAAAAAAATAACCGAGCAAAAAATGTTTAATGCCAGATGTCATGCGAAAATGTTTTTTTTTAAGAATATGTTGAGAATTTGAGGGTATTTATTAATTAACGGGTATTTATTAATTAACTTTGTGATAAGAACTGCTTCTGCAAAAAATAGACCCAAAACATGAATGTCNACGGGTATTTATTAATTAATTTTGTGATAAGAACTGCTTCTGCAAAAAATAGACCCAAAACATGAATGTCGCTAGAATCAAGGTATTTCGATACCCCTACGAATTTACTTTTTAGATGACTTAATGAAGAATGGGTTTAAAGAAATAGCAATTGTTTAAACTGATATTTATCCTAGGCACGTCAAAAGGTTACTGGTGTATCAAGAAGAAGTTAGACGAATTATAAAGAACACGGTAAGAATATCAATGACCCCCTTTGAACGCATAATAATAAATAAATTATTACAAAATGGGCATCATTCAAAATGGTTTTTAAAAACTTCTTAACTTAACTTTAGGAGGGTTGTCACCTGTTTAACAAATTAAATTAAATTTGAGTTAAGGGAATTCGTTAGGAGAAGTATGTTTTAACAAATGGGTGCCAAACTAAAGGGGGTTCAGAAGGCAGCAGTTCGAAAATATTTTGAAGAGGGTTGCCACCTGCTCGCAAATTCGAATTTAGTTAACTTATCTAAAACCACAAGTTATATAAAATGTCAAAATATGGATGTAAAAAAAGAGTGTTAAGAAGTCTTTAGTTTGAACACTAAGTATATTTGGGTGGTGTTGGAAGAGGGTTGCCACCTGTTTAAAAAGTTGAATTCAAATTATTTTATAAGTTAAATGAATTATTAAAATATGAGTATCAAACGAAGGGGGTTTGAAAATTTTTTTTTTTTCTGAACTGTATTTAACGGGGTTGCCTAATGTTTGAAAATTANGGAAGGTTGCCACCTGTTTAAAAAGTTGAATTCAAATTATTTTATAAGTTAAATGAATTATTAAAATATGAGTATCAAACGAAGGGGGTTTGAAAAATTTTTTTTTCTGAACTGTATTTAACGGGGTTGCCTAATGTTTGAAAATTAAAATTCCACATAATTAATCAGTTAATTAAAATATCTATCGTAGTGTCTGGCGAGGGAGACCCTACCAGAAATCTTACTGGCAAATGACCGGTCACCTGACGGTCAGTGCTGATGCAATAATGCTGCAATTTCCTCATCAGAAATTCGGGGGTAATATGAAAAACCTGACCGGTTCTTTTGTGTACATGTGACTATGCGTCCCTTTCTTACATGGCGATTTTACCAGCAGTGCTAAAAGGTCTCTTTTCTACTTATTGTATATCCTAAGGTAATTTTTGCAAATGTTTTTCTGTGGATTGGTGTATATTTTAGTGTGTTAGTGAAGAGGTCAGAAAAAAAGTCCTTTTCTTGTAGGGGAGTTAACAATGATTAAGCTTGAAAATACGTTTTAAGGGGGCTGCCACCTGTTTTAAAGGCCTAACTCAATTAACTAATTCAAAAAGTATATGAAATATAAAAATACCGTAGTCAAACGAAAGTTGCCACGTGTTTAAAAAGTTGCATTCAAATTATTCAGTAAGTTGCATGAAATATTAAAAGATGATTATAAATCGTAGTGGGTTTGAAAGGGATTTATTCCCGACCTTTACTTGGGAGGGTTGACATTTGTTCGAATAATCAAATTCGAATTAGTTCATCAGTTTCTTTAAATACATACATGTGTATCACAATGTCCCGAAAGAGATTTGAAGAAGATTTTAGTTTTGAAATTCAATTTTAAGTTTTTGAAATTCAATTTAACAACAAGGCTCCCGCAATTAAAAACAACATATTTGGAATCAGGATAACTCCCCCTACCCTTCCATGGTTAAAGCCCTAGTTAAAGCAATGCCGCAAGAAAAAATTGGAAAAAATTATTTTCTCAACGGCGGTGGCCCCCAGGCAGGCAATGGCAAACCACCGAGTGTATTTCTGCCATTAAAAACAGCTTCTCATAAAAATACAATCGCCGTTCGTAGTCGGCGTGAAACTGTAGGTCCCTCCTCTTTGTGTGACAACATCAAGGCGCACGCCACAAACGGAGAAGATTTCTGGTATTTTCTCTATTAAGTTCCCTTCTTTCATGCTTAAGAACTACATACCTACGTACATAAGGAAAAATAACTTCTACGAAACAGCATTTCCCGAAGACTTTGCCGTGCTGCCATAGTAACGAAATTGCTGAGCTTACCCCTTCTTAAAAAATTGTCAGAAATATGTCCTCAAAAAAAAGTTATGCACTTCACTAATTGCCATCAATATTTATTGGCAAATGACGTCAAAGGCCAATTGTTTAAATAGAAAGCTGACTTACAAGCAATACTCATCTACATATGTAGATAAGTATGTCAGTGGCCAGCATATATGTATATGTACATATATGTATGAGGTGCATGTGTTTAAATTCAAGTGTTTGCCGTTGTGTACGTAAACCTATCATGCATGAGAGCCCCTTAGCACAAGCGCAGGTACATATACAAGTGCCTACACAAGTGTAAACTTTTCCTTATAAATACTTTATTTAATGCGCTCATGAAAGTGGGCCACTTGTGCTGGGCTTCCTACAGATATATGTGTATATGTATGCATGTAAATATGTAAATGTACATACAAACATATTTACATATGTATGTAGTTCCATTCACGGTTACTCACCTTGCAGTGCTTCCCAGCGCCGCTTTTCCGTTTCCGATTCAAGTGAGTCAAATACTGCAGCGCCAACTAGTAAATATGTAAATGTGCACACGATCAAAGATATCGTGCGTACATTTTGTTTCTTCATTCTTCATTTAGGCGAAGTTTTGTTTTTAATTTCTTTATCATTGCGATTATATTGAATGTTCTTGTTTTACAATTGAAAACCGAAAATGCACTACATGCAACGCGTCGTCCAGGCTTTGAGGGCAAAGTCACTGATGCACACACTACAGCGNCATGCATGAGAGCCCCTTAGCACAAGCGCAGGTACATATACAAGTGCCTACACAAGTGTAAACTTTTCCTTATAAATACTTTATTTAATGCGCTCATGAAAGTGGGCCACTTGTGCTGGGCTTCCTACAGATATATGTGTATATGTATGCATGTAAATATGTAAATGTACATACAAACATATTTACATATGTATTTAGTTCCATTCACGGTTACTCACCTTGCAGTGCTTCCCAGCGCCGCTTTTCCGTTTCCGATTCAAGTGAGTCAAATACTGCAGCGCCAACTAGTAAATATGTAAATGTGCACACGATCAAAGATATCGTGCGTACATTTTGTTTCTTCATTCTTCATTTAGGCGAAGTTTTGTTTTTAATTTCTTTATCATTGCGATTATATTGAATGTTCTTGTTTTACAATTGAAAACCGAAAATGCACTACATGCAACGCGTCGTCCAGGCTTTGAGGGCAAAGTCACTGATGCACACACTACAGCGAGCAGTCACGGATGTTGTTAGACTAGATTATATTGGCAATTGTTTTTGTTACTAATAAACTAGGCATAATCTGCGCTATCGTTGAATTCATGGTGGTAGTCCGATTTTCGTGAAATCTACGAAAATGTGATCACTGGATCCGATTTTCTACGAACGTATGCATTCAAAATATATGCCTTGTCCGTAGCTATTCGGATGCAGTGATATCATTTTCGTAAATTTAACGAAACTTCGGACCACGATGGATTCAGTGGCAGCCCTGAATATCGATATTAAAGAGTGGTAATTTTGTAAATTTTTACAACTCAATAGACGTTGCTGCTTTTACCTTCTTCGATAACAGCCTTTTTCAATTTTTGCATCTGGACAAGACAAAGTATTGCTAGATGAATTTCCATACTTCCATCACGATTTGAAGATATTGGTTTACGCGCACTTATGTTGTTTTTGCTGTGATTTCAAAATGATTTTTTTTTTTCAATTTTCAATTAGGTTATTCACAACTTCCTTGGTTTATAACTTATATGGTTAATGATTATTATTCTTCAGTGTATTTTGTTGTTAGAAACTAAACAAAATATATGTAAATACATATGTATGTAAGTACAATAATAACATTAATGTTTAACCCGATAACAAGCAAGTGTGAGCAAGGGATTTTCGAGACCTTAAAAACTCCGGGATCCCGATATAAATCGATTAAGCGGTGACTGTCTGTCCGTCCGTCCGTCCGTCTGTGCACACGATAACTCGAGTACAAATTGAGATATCTTAACGAAACTTGGCATGTGTACTTCTTTTGAGCGTAGGACGGATGGTATTGAAAATAGGCAAAATCGGACGATAACCACGCCTACCTCCCATGCAACGGTCGATTTCAGAAATACGAAAACTGCGATATTTTAGTAACTACTGAAGCTTATTCACTCAAAATTAATATTTACACTCATTTTTAGGCGAAAAATAAGAATATTAAAAATTTTTAGCCACGCCTACCTATGATTACATTTGTACATCTTGGGAACCGCTCCACCAGTTTCTCCCAAACTTGACACAGTTGTTGGCCTTCACAAAACATACCAAACGGCTTAGAATTTAAAAAATTGGATAATAACCACGCCCACATCCCATATAACGGTAATTTAGAGAAATACGAAAGCTTCGATAAATCAGTAAATACTGGATCTAATTTATTCAAGATTGATGTTTGCAATAATTCTTTAACAAAAAGTATGCTTATAATAAAATAATGGAAAATGGGCGGGGTCCTGCCCACTTATGATCACATACATATGTGTATCTCGGTAACCGTTCGATCAATGTGTACCAAACTCGGTNACAAAAAGTATGCTTATAATAAAATAATGGAAAATGGGCGGGGTCCTGCCCACTTATGATCACATATGTAGGTACATATGTGTATCTCGGTAACCGTTCGATCAATGTGTACCAAACTCGGTATGATTATTGTGGTTGCTACATAAAGGCAATGCGTTGAAAGTCATCGAAATCGGACTAAAATTACGCCCACTTTTTCATAACGGTATATTTCAGAAATGCTTGATTCTTCGATATTTCGAAATTTAAGGACGCAAATTTTACCCAAACAATCCCTTGAATAGAAGTAACATTATTATTGAATTTTTGGAAATGGGCGTGATGCCGCCCACATATATCTATATAAGTTTATCTCATTATATCTAACTGAACGTTCTTCTATCGAAGTTGTTCGAAATAGGGGTAACCCCACCCCTGCTTACCATGTAGCGGTAGTTTTCGGAACGGTGAAAAACTATATTGAACACTTGCGCCGGGTATTTAATGTTCGGCTCCGCCCGATCTTAGACTTTTTTACTTGTTAAGAAATAATTTATGTGAGTAAATTAGGTGATTTAGTTAAATAAAAAATGTAAAGGTTAGTAATTTTTAATAATGTTTTTTTAGTACATGAATTTAAAAATTGGAACATTGTATCCAATAAAAAGTTTTTAAAGGGTCGTAAATCAGGGCCACTAAATAACTGCTCGCTCGAGGAGACAAACTTGAAAAACTTGAAACTTGACAATATTGTAAATTCTTTTCGATTGACGCTGCACCAGTCGAGAAGACTTTCAGTTATATTTATTGTATTTTTTTATTTTATTGCATTGCAATGATTCTTTTTTGAGAATTGAATCGGGCGGCAAATGTCGGATGTATCCTCCCGACTTTCATCTCCACAATCTAGTATCATGGCAAGATCGTTGTTTAAACACCATTGTTTTCCAAAGAATTCTTCACTAATTCATTTTTAATCCTTTCTTCTGTGACTGGTCAGATATAAGTTTTATCAGTGCACTTGCACAATATTCCAGGGACCGAAAATAACAGTTATTTTTTACCAGTTATGCTTGGCCTAATATTTTTTATTCGGAAATAAAAGATTTTTCTGGATATCTGGACAATATCATGTGAAAGAGGACTAAAATAGCTTTTAAACAGAAATAACGAACGAAGGTTACCGCCTCTATTTATATTTTTTTTATATCATTTAATACTAAAGAAATTCATACACCTGACCCAAGGTTTGTTCTATGGTAATTAATTAACATTTTTTATTGAAATATTTTTCAATAGGTGACTTTGCTCGTTTAGACATTTCAGTTTTAAAGCTATGTAAGTCCTCTTTCATTTGATACCTAACTTGTTTAATTTGGACAAGCGGTTTGATCATTATCCGGAAAGGACTTTNTAACTTGTTTAATTTGGACAAGCGGTTTGATCATTATCCGGAAAGGACTTTTAGTTGGGAATAAAAAATATTTGGCCAAGTTTAGCTCGTAAAAAAAAACTGTTATTTTCGGTCCCTTCAATATTCGCAGTCGCAAAAGATCCACATTCATTAATGCGAATGCGAAAGCGAATGCGAATGTTAAAATTAATGCGAAGGCTTCGCGGTTGCGAATGCGAATGCGAATATTCGCAAGAAACCTGGTACATACACATGTAAGACTCCAAAACGACACGCAAATCAAACTAAATATTTACGCTAGCACTCTGTGGCGACCTTGCATTACTTTTAGGCGCGCACTCACTTGCCAAGGTTTGCATCTTAGCAAAGTTCTATGTGGTCCATAGGCACATACATACATACATATGTATGGATGTATATACTTACATATGTATATCTGTCGATACATACCTTGTACGTACATTGTATGTTCGTATGTCAAAATTTGTGTGGAAGCACTCGTCCGTTATGTATATATGTATGTTCACGAATAGGGAGATTGCCGCTCATCAGCAACATTTTATATGGAAAGCGCCACGAACTTGCAACACAAATATATGTTCATATACATACATATGTGCATACATACATACATAGATATAGAGTGAAATTTGTAGGTGTTTTTTAGCGGTTTCGGTGTCGCTAATCTTGGAACCACTAGCAACGTACTGCTCTGCATCGCTGTCGTCAAAATGACGTATCCTTGTCAACATTCAGCCATGTGCTCTTTCAACTGCGACCATGTGACAGCAGTGACGAAATCATTTACGAGCACATTGGCATTTCACTAGAAACACTTTTTATGACTTTAACCGCGAATATGTACATATGCCGCATACCACATACTACGTATGTACATACATATGTATGTGCATGCATATGCAAATATGTACACAGATACCTTTCACTAAAAGCTTACTCAAACATACTATATAGTATGTACTACAATACTATTTCATACAAAATACACTGGAAATACTATATTAATTAGCTAGGAGCAAACGCATTTAAGTTTGCTATCAAATATATCTTTATAAATTTGTATACCTTTCTATACCATTAGATACATATGTACATATGTACATGCATTCATATGCTCATATGCATAAAATGTAAACCCCTAAACCAATTCATCAACTTTTTCAAAAATCTACGCATCCTAGTTTTACAAATCTCATCAATAGATGTCTGTACATATCTATGTATAGGTATGTCCTTATGTAAGTATGTATGTATGTACAAAGGACTCACACCGCCAATTGCATCATCATGCACTCGCTGAAATGTCAATAGCTGAACAAATTATAAGAATCTGCTCTCCGGTCGCTGTATGCGAGAGTAGGAAATAAGCGCTCTGGAGCATATTGGCGCAACGCAAGGCGCAACGCATATGAGCTAATACATACATACATACATAAATACATACATATTTACCTTATTATCTTGAATTGATAGAATTAAAGTATACGTACATATGTATGTACATATGTATATGAAGTATGAACTACATATGTATGTATGTGCATATGCTGAGATTGCACCAGAGCACATCGCTCCAAAGCCAACCACCAGATTCGTCGTATCGATCATCGTCTGGCCATCTCACCGATCAGGCAGAATCAGTACTTGCTGCAATAAGGCATTCAACTTGGCGAATTCAATAATTCTGGTTTTCCATGTCGATCATTGCGAAACACGGATTGCAAATGGAACTTGAAAGTTATCCTT